TGCGAGGCTCACTAGCCTTTGGAGAAGGAGGTCCACTCCATACCCAGAGAACCGTTCCAGTAGGACCTTGAAATCCTTGAGAGCTTGTATCAAGTGTGGATCGGCATCGATATTGGGGTCGACTCGAACAGAAATATTGGCATTTGATGCGGCAGAAGTTGTAGCTTCGCTGATGGTTTCGGCTACATACGCCGCCTTGTCGATATATTTACGACATAATGATATCATCGTCATCAGTGCCGCTGTATACTGAGGGCTAGTTTGTGCTTGTTCGATAATCTAAAGAAAGAGTAAGAAATCGAATGTATCAATAGAAAGAAATTTGACCGACTTGTCTAATACGTAAAAGAACTGTCTCCTTGATCCTATCTGGATCTTCATCTTCTAGACGAGTCCATATTGCCCTTCTTCTAGCTTCAGCTTCCTCGACCGTAGACTGCGTTGCCTTGGAGGCGATATTCCGAACAGTCTCGCCAGTGTGTGCCAGGCCTTCTAAAGAAGGCACACCAATACCTCCCGCTTCATCTCTTTGAGCTGCCAACTCTGCATCTCCGGGTCTAACAGCTTCCTCTAGCTGCTCGGCCCGTATTTCAACTACCGCGGCCACCTTTGCGACGTCCATTGCAACATCGGCGAGAATATCACGAGTTGTTACCAATATGTCGGATATGATCAGTCGGAATGCACTTGAGGTTATTAAAAGTGATAGAAGGGATTGAACAGAAGATATGAATCTCCGTAAATCCTGCTGGAACGGTTCTCTGGGTATGGAGTGGACCTCCTTCTCCAAAGGCTAGTGAGCCTCGCAGAGCATGTCAGCTCTGAGAAAGAGAAAGGAGACGGTGGTCTTCCAGCCCTCTTAAATGCCTTTTCCAAGTGGCTCAACCGATGTTTAAACCAGCCCGGCTGGATTGCCACAAATGAAGGCCAAGCAGAGGGAAGCAGACTCTATGATTGGTCAGCAGAGATCTTGAAGCGAGATCCAAAATACAAGGAGGATGCTCGTAATGTCCTTGAAGAAGCCTACGCTCTCCGTAACGGACTTGCTAGTGACTCTACGACCAATTCAGTAGTTGGGGCAATTCAAACACTGATAAACGACCTAGCTACCATGGGACAAGTGGGAATACAAGTTGCAACGGTCGAATCTGCAAAGCAGTGGGAAGCTGCGAAAGCAGAATTATGGAAAGATATCCTTTCGTGGGTCCTGCCACGAGTTCTTCAAGCAATCCAAATCATACCCCTTCCCAGAGTTGAACTGAAGAGCGATAAACTGGATATGGTTATCGATAAAGTCACACTTGCATCCCCATCTTTCATCCCAGATCACATTCAAATTACAAACCACATGGACTTTGTCCTACACGCATCGAGTGCCGTTCGGAACGAAGACCGATTCTACAGGTCATCTACCACAACCCGCACAAGAGTCGTCGTCGACGGCCTTCGTATATCCGTCGAAGATATTGCCTATTATCTCAATGCAAAAGGCCCATTTTGGTCAGGCTGGCTCGATAATGGGTTATTAACAATAGATGTAGGGGGAAAGCAGGTGGTTGGAGATGGCATCTCACTCGTGCTTGACGTCGAAGTTCCGTCGCTAGAAGATCGGGGTAGCGGTGATTACCTATTCAAAGTCCTAGACGCCAAGGTTGATGTGCCTGGCCTGGCATTCCAAATGAAGCAAACGAGACATTGGATTTTCAATACGTTAATCACGCAACCACTCCTCGGTCCTCTTGTGAGGACGGCCGTCTCTCTGATTCTTTCAGCTCAAATAAAGGCGGCGCTTGAGTCCCTTGACTCTTCATTATGTGATTTACGTGCTAAAGCAAGCCGTGTGACCGGGAAGCGTACAAATGAACTGGAGTTTGTGGACTATTGGGAAGCCTTCACCCAACATCAAGAACCAGCTCCGTCACCTACTGTCTCCGCAAGATCTCAAAGCCCTACGACAGTTGAACAGGAGCCGCATACTCATGTAGAAACCGAAACGACAACCAAGGGTATTATTCGCACGACTGTAGTGGAAGATGCAGAAGGTGCACCACAATCAGAGACGGTCCTCGCGATTGGGATTGGAGAGCAAATCCTGCCTGGACTTGGTGGGCCTACACAGGAACCGCCTCCGACCCTAGTAGAACAAACCCGAAAAGCCCTTGATGAACTCGATGAAGCCCGTCAAGAAGCTAGGGCAACTGCCAAAACGGCCACAGAGGATCTCAGGCGTGCGACCGAGGACGTGAGACAGCGTATGACCTCGGCAGGAGAGAGAATACCTAATAAGAAGGCCAAACTTGCTAAGCTTCCTGATTGGAGAAGCTCGGATTTTGATATTTGATCCTGGGCCTGCCCCTCGATAGGTGCGTGGCTCTCGGTCAGTTGCTCACAGAGACTGCTCCTTTCACGCTCTACTTTCCCTGTATACGGTCCGAATGTAATATAAAGAAGTTGTATCTACATGTGATAATGACAACCATTGGGGGAATCCTCGGGGAATCGATCCGTAGGGGGTATTTACGCCCAAGCGGTTTGCGAGAACTCGAGGTCACGCAACAACCCAACTTGATTCCCCCCAGCACTTTACAACAAGAAAATGGCTACCATCACCTTGAAGCGCACTGGTCAGCAAGTGAGATGCCCGCCTTAAGTCTTGTCGAATGACTACTAACTCAATTTCTATCAGATGCCACTCGTTGGGTAAGCCATGATCATGAGACGATACGGCACGTTTGATTAATAACACTGACTAAAAACACTAGTTTTGGTCTTTGGAAGGTAATGTCGCTCGTGAAAGGGAGTCCCGCGTTACTGAGGCGTCCATCCGATCCAGGTCCCAAGAGCCCAAACAGCCGATGTGAGCTTTTACTTCATCACCAGATCTCGTATTTACAAGTTCTTTTAGACGGTATATAACGCTTTGAAAGCTGGATATCGCCTTCTTGATGGTGCGGGCGATTATGGAAATGAGAGGGAAGCCGGGGAGGGCCTTGCTCGTGCCATTAAAGATGGTGTGGTTAGACGTGAGGAAGTTTGTGAGTGCTATTATTTCTTTCGCAGTCTTCAACCTAATTGCCCGCCATAGTTGTGACGTCTAAGGTGAGTTCATCGGGAGAATGTATGGCCTTTCTTTGTGACCCCCCTCCAGCTTTGGAACACATTCCATGCACCCGAGCACGTCGCCAAATTGGCTCGACTCCAATTACAACACTGGCAACTCGACTATTTCGACCTTTTCCACATTCACTTCCCCATCGCGTTGAAGTACGTCGATCCTGAGCACAGGTATCCCCCAGAATGGTTCGCCGATGACGGAAGCGTACAGCTTGGTACGGTCATAATCCCGCCTCTATTTCTCTTACTGATATTCTACGCATGTAGACACCACGCCAATCCAGGCAACGTGGCAAGCCATGGAGAAGTTGGCCGACGAAGGTCTTGCTAAGAACATTGGTGTCAGGTAAAAGGTTGTCTAATCAAATGGGCTCATTATTGATCTGTCAAACCCAGCAACTTCAATGGATCTCTCTTGCTTGATGTCCTTCGTTATGCTCGAATCCCGCCCGCAGTCTTGCAAATCGAACACCACCCTTATCTCGTCCAACAACCACTACTCGACCTCGCCAAGAGTAGAGATATTGCCGTCACCGCTTACTGCTCATTCGGGCCTGCCAGCTGGGTCGAATTGGAGATG